CCAACAGTGAGTAACAGGAGTGAGTAGCCAGAAGGGAGTAACTGGAGTCAGTAGCTAAAAGGGAGTAACAGGAGTGGGTCGCAAAAAGAGAATAACAGGAGTCAGTCATCAAAAGGGAGTAACAGGAGTGAGTAGCCAAAAGGGAGTAACTGGAGTCAGTCGTTTAAAGGGAGTAACAGGAGTGACCACCCGGAAATTAAATCGGTGTCGGTCAAGTCCGGTGCACACATTCAAAGTGTTACAGCCTTGTAATGTGTAATTCTAGTTCACATCTACAATAAAGAACAACAGTGTTGAGTGAAGTGTGAGTTTTAAGTGTTCTCTCTCTCCTTGTGTGAGCAAGGCCCGGAAGTCGCCCTGAGACAGAATCCCGTCCTACCGTCTGAGCAGTCGGAACCCCAAACGCCCGCCTATCCATATCCCCACCTTTGTTTTCCCCGTTCCAAATGTTTCACCCAAGTCCACTGGCGCCCATATAAATTAAAATTCAGAGTAATCCCACACCCTACCCTGAACTAGACAGCAACAAGGAAGCGGCGGATGAAAGTGGAGACCAACGTAAGGGCACTAAGAGGACAGGTATAAGTGGCGAGTTATAAGTGCCGACCAACTTCTGGGGCTAGAAGTCTCACTGAATGGGTGACAACAGTTATAGCTGTGTCACCAGGACTGATGATATTGTGACATGCTGAGCTATGGATGACGCCCCTCCCCCACCCCCGCCAGCCGTGATGCGCCGAGCGAAGCCGAAGCGAGCCGATGTTAGCCGAGTCCTAGCATCCTGGTCGCTAGGCAACGCAAGTCAACAGCGGTGACGTCACCAAGTAGTAACAGCGGTTACTTCCGCTAGCGTTACTAAGCAACACAGCGCCAGGCAACAAGGGTGCCTATTACGTGGCCGTTTTCCGTATGGTCCGATCGAGGCTACATGAGGCGCAGCGAAGGCTATTCACAGTTAGTTGTACTGGGTTGGTCAGTTAGTCCTGGAGCTACCTACGAGTCAGTCCTCGAGCTACCTTAGTTCCGAGTTAGCCAGCAACTAGTCCGTTGTATTGTGGCATTTGAAGTGTACTAATTGTGATACTGCAGATAGCAGTAATCGTAAATCTGTAATTTGGGTGATTGTATGAGCGAGTGTGAAATAAAATTCGCTACATCAAATACGGCGTGAAGTTATCTGTCGCGATATACGCCCAATACGCGACAATATATTAGGAGATCTATATGGACTTTACTTTGTTGATTTTTTCACGACATAGCATCAACTGCATAAGTTCCTTGGCGTCAGGCTGAGTTCAGTGTGGTTCTGCTTGTCGGGAAAACCAATCGGCAGCAAACAGTCACACAAGAACAGTGAACACGCTTTAGCCAGTATTTAGCTGTCTTGTGGAGGGCAGACGTACCTGAGTGTACGCGTCCTGAGGTAATTTACTTACGTCCTGGATATGATAAACAGAACTGTAAAAGCTAAATAAGCTTCAGGAGAATTCAAATTAATATGGGTAACGCAATATAGCAGTGGTAAAAGAACGATGAATAAGACAAGTGGGAACCCATTAATGTATTCTGCAATGTGTTTCAAGTGAATGATGTCAAGTTACACGATTTCGATCTGAATACAGAGAAAAGAATTGTACACAGATTCTTAGTGGTAGACCCTGAAGTAAAGAAACCATTAAAAAACCTGGATCTACATGGGAATATAATATTAAAATGGATCTCACATAAGTAGGATGTGAGGTTGTGGACTGGATTCATCTGGCTCAGGATAGGGACCAGTGGTGAGCTCTTGTGAACACAGCAATGAACTTTGGGGTTGCATAGAATGTTGGGAATTTCGAGAGTAGCTGAGCAACTGCTGGATTCTCAGGAAAGACTCAGCTCTGCGGAGTTGTCTAATTAGTTGGTTAACTAGACATACAGTAATTAGCAATAACATAGCACAATTTTTGAACTATAGTTGAAATAGCCAGGGATATATCGAAAGCAGAGACCACTAGGAAAACCTAGAAGTAGATGGGAAGATAATATTAAAATGATTCTCAGAGAAACTGGATGTGAGCTGGATTCGTCTGGCTCAGAATAGGGACCGGTGGCGGGCTCTTGTGAACACGGCAAAGAACTTTTCCGTTACATTGAATGGGGGGAATTTCGAGAGTAGCTGAGCAACTACTGGATTCTTTGGAACGACTCAGCTCTGTGAAGATGTCTAGTTAGCTAGACATTATTAGCAATAACATAACACAACAGTAGATATATAGGTGAAATGGTCAGGAATATGTTGAAGGCAGAGACCACTAGGAAAACCTAAAAGTAGAGGGAAAGATAGTATTAAAATAGTTCTCAGAGAAATAGGGTGTGAGAATGTGAACTGGATTCGTCTGGCTCAAAATAGGGACCAGTGGGGGCTCTTGTGAACACCGTAATGAACCTTTCGGATTCCATAAAATGGTGGAAATTTCTTGAGTGGCTGAGCAAATACTGGGTTTCAAGAAGGGCTCAGCCTCATGGAGTCAGTTTTGCTGTTAGCTGGAGAGATACAGTTAGCAATAACATGCCCAAAACAACAACTCAACTGTGGGCTAACTGGGGAGGATGTGGCTGAAAGCAGACCCACTGATAAAAATGAACGCCTGTCTGAAATTCTGCAACATTCTCTCTTGCAGTGCCCGTAACAGGCCACGTTCTGGGAAGGACCGTGATGATAAAGAAATGTTTTTGATGACTTCAGGGGATGGGGAAGGATGCTGCCGTGGCCAATTCAAGTTGTATCAGTCTTGCCAACCCCGCGAAACGACAGTTGGAAATAATTAATCCCACTGATATTAATACTAAATGTTAAGCACGGCCGCACCATAGCTCAAGTGGTTAGTCGCTGGCTTCCCACCGCGGCGGCCCGGGTTCGATCCCGGGTCTGGTCAAGTGGGATTTGTGGTTTGACAAAGTGGCGCTGTTGCCGGTTTTCTCCGAGTACTTCAGTTTCCCCTGCATATCTTCATTCTACCAAATTCTCCATCATCATAATCACCCGGGGCCAATCAGTGGCCGCCGTGCCGAGTGGACCCAGTTGGACTCCACCCTCCACTAAGCGAATTAAAAACACTAGCTATCTCTTTAGCAGATATCAGTTATTAATATTAATTAGCTTAGTTACAATAGTTATAATAGTTATGTAATAAAACTAACCTTCCTAAGAATTCTAAAATCTTTCGTATTCCATTTGTTACTTACAAGTAATTACGAGTAAAATTAAAGAGTAATTATAAACAAACTTATTAAAGGGATACTGAATGTAGTACTTTGTGTCAGGTTATTCATATAACAGTTATACAGGGTGTCCCAGGAGGAATGTGCCAAACTTCGGGAGGGTGTTCCTTATGTTAAAGTATGCCGATATAACCCAAAACACCTATGTCCAAAGTTGAACGGTTACGGAGATAATGGCCCGAGAAGTGTCAAACTTTGACCGGGGTTACACACTTGTTGATTACAAAATACATATTAAAACTGGCAGGAATATGTGGATTCTGTAA